TAATAATAAAATAAATAATAAAATACAATATCAGAATAATAAACTAATAAAATAATAAACTGTTCTATAACAATACCGAGAATTTTAGCCAAAATACAGAAAGAACAAGCAACAATTTGCACTGTGACACCCCTTTGGATATCAGCGATTTGGTTTCCAACAATTATAGAACTAGTAATAGATGCATCCTGCATACTTACATCTGAAAACCTGGTACTTTCAGAACCAATATCAGAGCATCTACCTTACTGCAATACCTCTTGGCAAATGTGCGTGTGGCTTATTTCTGGGAATGCATCGAAGAGAAAGAGGTTTCCGAGAAAGCAATTGAATTATCATACAAATCGCTGGATCCTAACTCAACCACCACTATTTTATCTAACTTGTGGATATGGACTACATGGTACACAAAAAATAACAATAATCCTGTTCATTGCCCTATAACTGATATCATATGATTTCTTACTGAGAAAAATACCGAAGGAAAATTTTACAACACAATTAGAATGATATTATAAGCAATTGATAACAATAACAAATTAAAAAAATTACTATCAATTAATAATATATTGTACTACACTATTCACTGTGAAAATAATTTGTAAATTGGTTAGAAGTCAAACTATGCAAGAACTCAGGAAACTGATCCTTAAAATAGCTCTTCATAGCTTCTTTTGGAACATTTTGGTCCAGATAAACATAAAATAGAAATAAATATTTTACTATGCCATTATATATTCTCTTTAAAATAAAAAATAGTTACAATAAACATGCTAAATATAGAAAAACATATTAAGAGGAAAAACCACTTACATCCATTACTTGAGAGGAGAGCTTATTGTCTTGCTCTTCTCATTTCCTTTTTAGTTTGGCAGCTATTTCTTGAACGTTCTTGTTAAGCTGCCTTAATAATAAGTACAACTGGTGATTCTGTGTGTAAAGTTGTTCGAATTTTTGGCGGTGGTGTTGACAGTTTTTTTTTTTGTTTTTATTGAAAATCAAAAAAAAAATTCTCAATAATAAAAAAAAAATAAAACTCAAGTATTCAAAGAAAAAAAAAAAAAAGGCTATATATTAAAAAAATTACTAATGTGGTGCATCTTGGTTAGATAATTATCTATCATATGATCATCCATCATGTGATCTTTCTCTATGCTCTTGATCAGGTAAAGGCTGCGGTGATAAAGAACAATTTAAATTGTTATTTGGTAATAAACGACAAGAGTAAATTGGCGAGTGTCTTTAAAAAGGTTGATGAGATTGTTAATGTGGTTGTTGATGAGATGGTTGGCATTGAGAAGTTTGTTGTCAGCCTCTTCTACTCATTTTTGAAAAAATAGATTGCATACTTAAAATACTTTTTGTAGATAAATCAGAATCATCGTCATAACAAATATTATTAGGTTGTTTTTGAGAGTTAGTATTGTTAGATGTTGGTTGAGGATTAGCAGATTTATATGGCATTGTTTGAGAAGCAGCGGAATTATATGGTGCATTAGAAGAAACTGATTGAGAATGATTATGTTAAGTAGTTGGAGGCAGTTGTTTAGTATCAGTAGTATTATGTAGTGTATCAGAAACTGATTGAGAATAATCATGTTAAGTAGTTGTAGAGTATTGTGTAAGGTTAATAGTTTTATGTGGTGTATCAGAAACTAATTGAGAATGAGTATATTGAGTAGGGTAGTAGAAGGTAAGTTTTCTATTATTCAAAATTACAAAAAAAAGAAATTTCAAAAATTTACCTTCAAACCTTAGAAATCTATTGTATTTATATAATTGTAACGATTTTGCAAGAGTTAATTAAATTAATTAAATATAAAATCTAATGATGAAAAATGTAATGTAAATAAAAGAAAGATACTTATCTGTTGACTTTTGGTCATTATACTTATAATGACGATGTTCTAAGATTTATCGCATAGCTGAGTTTTTGTATATATTGCATAATTTCGTCACAAATCTAAATAATATTACACTCAATACAATTATATGAGTCCCGCTAAAAGAATGAGTCATCAGGCTTTCAATTATATTTTGTACCAGACACAATATATTTAACTTATTAGAAATATGTCTGATGCAATTGAAAACCTGGTAACTTATTCTTTTAGCGGTACTCATATAACACCAATTTGCCTATATTATTATATTATACATAATATGACGCAAGTTGTTTACAAAGTTAGTTTCGTGATAAAATTGTTTTGATAAAAAAAATAAAGTTAAATATTATAAATCAATATAAATTAATATAAATTAATATATAGATACAGTTACAAATCAAATTCTCTCTGAATATTACCTTTAGACATTCTTTCGTGACTTTCTTTTACCCTTTATAATTGATAATCGCTTTAATCAAATTTTCTTTTTTTCTTTTTTATTTTCTTTTTATTATTAGTTGTTTTAAATCTGAAAAACAGAATCTAGTTTAGATTCCAGTATTCTAGCATCCCTTTTATTTTCTTAGTTTATCTTTTCTCTTCGCTTAATATCGCTTATTTTTGGTTTGATTTTTTCTTCACTTTTTTACATTCTTTTTATCCTTTCTTTTTCTCTTCACTTAATATTGCTTATTTTCAGTTTGATTTGTTTTCCTTCACTTTTTTATATTATTTATCTCATTTTTTTTCACTTCACTTAATATTGCTTATTTTCAGTTTCATTTGTTTTCTTCGATTCTTTATATTGTTTCTCTCTTTTCTCTTTTTCTGTCTTTTCATTTCTTCTCTTTTTTTCATTTTTCTATTTTTTTCTAAAATGCATTGGCAATATCCATACTGTATTTGTAATTTTTCAAGACCTCAAGCATTAACTCGACATATTTCTCAAAGTTATCCTTATATTAATGACATGACAAATCAATCCGTTCCTGCTAAGCAATTGGATAATAGTATTTGGAATCTTTCAGAATATAGCTCTAGTTATGACTCTTCTTCAGATGAATCTTCTATAATTTATGAGGTAAATTAGTAATAATTTGTTATTAAAGGTTTAAAACGATAATAAGTGATTATATTTAATTAAGGCCAAAGTTATGTCACCTTTATCTGGTTCTATGCAAACAAAAAATAACTATGATGAAAATTCTATAGCATATGAGGTAAGTCGGTTATAAATGCTATTATTGGTTACAAAATGTTGTTTAATAATTATATATTAGAATAAAATGTATCATCTTATTCTGATATAGAAACAGAGCATTCTTTAGCAGATTCTGATTTTTTTTACAGAATTTATCAATATTAATTCAGAAGACCACTTAGAAGCTTCAATAGATGATGCTTTTAATGACCTGCATCATTCACACAAAGTTGACTGCCCCAACGATGCATATCATGAATTTATGAAAATAATCAGTAGACATCAACTGTCTAATTTGGTTGGTAATGCTTTTATAAAATTTTTCAATAAGCATTCAAACTTAGATGTTTTACCCCTCTCTCTAACAGCAAAAATTAGAAAGGAATTTCTGAATAATTTAACAATCTCTTATATGATATTCAAAGAAATTTCTATTATAACATATCAAGATATTAAGTATATATTCTACTATCGATCATTAATAAAACAATAAAGTTTTTATTAATAATTAATAGTATAAATCAGCAATTGGTATTTAACTTTTAAAATAAAAGGGAGATAAGAAATAATGTGGAGTGCTGTATCTTTGAAGAGCAATATAATTGCCTCTAGTAGGAACAAAAAGAATCATCATTACTTCTTGATCAATGATTACAATTGATAATCCTTTATTCTGATGCAACTACTCTAGACTATTTGGGAAAATCTTCTAGGTATCTTATATTTTTATCCC